GTGCAAAAAGCAAGTGGGTCGAAAAAGTGATAACAAAATAAATGATTATGTATGAGGGGAAGAAGGACTTTGATAAACAAGGTAAGTGGAAATGTTCAAACTGTTGAAGACGCCAAAGAGTGAATGCATCTGCGCCATTGTGGCTGGTTTTTAGCCATTTCACCGAGTCTGCAACCAATGATTCCTATGATCTTGGAGATTGAAACAAGGTATTCCGCACTTTTCTACTCTGCTCAAACCAACAGCCAGAGACTTCATAGAATGGTGTCATGTTCTGGTTGGACTATCGTAGACTGTTTTCCAAGCTAATTCAACTTCCAGCATTGCACGTCGATCTAGGTGGTGAGTCGACATGCACGGAAAATATCTAAGCTACCTCAGTCGCTGAAGTTTCACAACCTCATCGACCGACTTTCCTTGATTGTCAAGTACCCTTTGTCTAACCTTGACATTACTGACGTGATGATTCTACCAAACGCAAGCAATCTTACCATCTGCGATCAAAACCCTGTAATCACTTCATGTCTTCTACTTTTGACGGCCATGTCTCACAGTCATATAACAGGACAGAGTAGACTGCAGCACAGTGTACTCATGCTTTAATAGGTAGTCGGATATCTCGCCAGCGGCGGTTAGAGAGGGTGCAAGTTGACAAACGCCAAATGAGTCTTCTGTATTCGAGCGGAAATTCTGTCACCAATCAGCCCGTTCGAGCTGATGCAACTCCTCAAGTAATTGAAGTGGTCGGCACATCCCACCACTTCACTCTCCATAGTTAAACTGGGAGTATTTGCAGTACACCAGTCCTGGGACATTATCTTACATTTGACAGGTGCGAAACGCTCAACCCAATATCCGTATTTATGGATGAGGCCATGAGCCACACTTATGACATAGCGACTTTTGATACTAAACCGAAATAGGTGAAAATATATTTAAACCCGGAGCTCAAGGAAAACTGGAGTAGAAGGACGACACTTAGCAGGAAAAGGGGTCTGCAGTTCATCCGCAAAAGAGACGATTAGAGCGACAGCCAGAACACCTCAGGGAATCATATGACCGATCTGGAACTACTCTGTGATTGCCTACTATCTATTCACATCCTCAATAAGACACTGACATAAGACATTTAGCCCTTGTTGAAGATGAGGAACCTGAAAATCCTAATGAACCAGTCCTGGATGTGTCGATGATGGCGGCTAAGGGTGAATGACCAAACTAGTGGAGATATTAGCTGACTTATCAAAGGGAGCCTCACTAACCAACTGACTTCCATATCTCTTTGAATGTCCTAGTCTTGAGGAAATGAGAAAATTTCTTTATGATGACCACAAGAGCTAGTGTAACCAACACATTTTCCCTAATTCCAAATTCCATAATTATCCAGCGCCTAGTTGAAGCTTGAGAAAGCGAACCTGGAAAGATAGATAGGTTTCAGATGTAGCCTGTACCGACCAGATCGTAATACAGAGACCCACTTGCTCTCACCAACAGTAGCGTTGCTAGATCGAAAAGCGGTATTTACCTACTCACTGTGAGGATTTAAGGCAATGTAACCATATAGAAATCAGCCTGACCTACATAGTGTGTAGGATCCAAGGTTTTGTAATTATCTGACAACTAAGTTCCCGATCGATAGCTGCTACCTTCATGTATTAATCGATCTTGTATATCAGAATGACCCAAGGAACTATGCTGGTGGAACGCTTGTCCCCTCGAGGTCCTGCCATCCCAGAAAGGTCTGTTGGATAGGGATAAAACGAAAAGCAATTACCGTTGTAATGTAAATTACTTAACTACGACGGTAGTCTGATGGCGAAGTCCTACTGCTGCTAGCTGGATTAAGTGTAACAGGAGTAAAGTGTTTCCCTTGGATACCCAACAGTGCTACGCTGATGTTGCCTTCCCTATGGGAAGGGTGGATTTAGAAAGGTCGCCTACAAACATAGCACACTCCTACCTGCTCTACGGTCTTCCGGTGCCGGTGGTATGGGTCCTCTGTAGCCTGTTAGAACAACCGGACCTCCAAACAACATCCCGCTTAAGGCTGCGTGTGACAAGCCTTAAGCAGATGTCCTATGGGCTTTATGATCACACAAATCTTTTTCTCTTTTGGGTACCTTAGGAAAAATAGCCTTCCACGGTTTGGGCGACTTCCCGCACACTTCTAGTATTGCACAAGACCCAATCAAACATGACCTATACTTCTCGTTTGCCTTCACCTCCTGGTACTAATATTAGGATTCTTATGCCTTACACAACCTCTCACTCTGCAACCATGGACAACAATCAAAGACATTGAAATCTCATTCCTAGTTTCCTAAGACCCCACCATCGACTTCATGTAGGAGCTTTCAACGTCCAAACCTCATGCCGCATCGCTCACCCAAAACAATGGAATCTCTAGCCATGGATGTATGATGTGTCTCTGAGACACATATACGGGACCCGAGTGTGGTTATCATATACAGCTGGCCATTGTAGTGAGTCTTCAAAATTCGCCTTGCAAGTATTTGGAGATCCAGTGGCTAGTTCCCATGAACTTGCTAGTGTAGGCATAACAATGAGTTGTAGAGGAGAAGGTATGCTTCTTGAATAAATACCAGTCCACAGCCGTTTTTTGTATAGGGAGGATCGTGAGACCAGGCGATGCCTATTTGTCGTCTCCGACTATGCACCCAAAGAATATAGTTTAGATGATGCAAAGGATAAATTCTATGAAAAGCTCTCAACTTAGCTACAGAAACCAAAACCTTTAGATTTATTTATAATGACAAGTGACTTTAACGCTCAAGTAGGGGACTTGAACCAGTCATGAAGGCATCTTGGGGGTTTTTACAGATCCCATGTCAAGGAACTGGCGACGGTCATTTTCTGATAATGTTCATTTAATAATAATGGTAGTGAAAATAATATCTTAGTGTGAATACTTTTTGAAATAAGGTAAGAGGGTGTACAGTAGTGATGGCACCTCTAAGTATATAAGCGGAGAATTAATGTGTGAATTTTACATGAAGTAAAAATCTGACTTTTCCCTTAATTAATTCACGGAAATGCCGCTCAAGTAAGTAATTTACGCGGTAATAAAAAGCAAAACTTGTTGTTTTTCATTGTACTTCTGAAGAAAACATAATGCCTAACAGATGAGGTGAGAAAAGTTTGCACATTATCCCAATGTCATGGCACTTGTAAGTTAAGGAGACGGTTAATAATGACGAATACACGGGTTTGTCAATAAGCAGAAAAATTGCGTTCATTTTTTCCTAGGAAATATCTCCGGCAATTCGACACGATTTCATGCACTTTATCACTGAGTTACATAGCTCAGTGAATATATATCAAACCGAACGGGTGAAGTTCGGTTGATGAAAAGGAGAAAAAACCTGATTATTCATTAAAAATAAAGTATGCAGAGAATCATATTAAAACTCACCTTTAGAATACTAGATTAAACTTAAATGAATGTTATTAACAAATAACACATATTTTGTCAACAAGAAATCCGATTGTCTACTAAAGACCACGCGTAACGCGCACCGAAGCACTTCGTCCATCCGCGTGGCTCAGAAAAATTGCCAATAAAGATGGAGAACATGGTTACGCGTCGATTGCATCACAGAACCTCAAGTGAGGAACATAGAAGTTAGGCGTAGTCCTAGATTAAACAGGTGAGTCAGTTGATCAGGTCTTAAACCCTCTTTCACGTGGTGAGAGAGTATGTTACGCATGCTGACCCACTGACTACCCCGATGGGCTGATTACGGGTTACGTTGGAAGAAACTGAGAGTGACCAAATTAAATCGTGACAAGAATCCATGAAGTGTGTCACCATCGGTCACATGTGTGCACAGATATGTAACGCTTCTTGGTTAACGTCCACACGGAAAACGAAACCAACGATTGGAGACTCTAGGTGATATGGATTAGAATTGATCACAGTGAAGTAGACGCATCTGCGCCTTATCTTCATGTTAACAATTGTATCCTATCTCGTTATTCGCTCAAACTTCCATTGTTTTGTATCACTGTCTCCTACATCGAATAAAAAAATCGAACAGAGAATTACATTCTATAACAGTGATCAAGTTTCACCACTCGTCCTTGCTCTTATGAATTTCTACAACGTGTGACTGTATGATTTCTATTTCTTTGTTTTTCATCATGTTACTTTGTACTATGAAATACTTTCAGGCATAGAAACTACACCTGTTACCTCTAGTCTCACGTCGAAAGACTTAGGCTATGGTAGAAGAGATAAATCTGGCTTTACTTTAGGACTGATTTGAGTGGACACCCCGTCTTACTACAGAGAGTGAAGTGGATGTGACCAACAGCTTAGCGCAGTGGTGTTGGTGTATTCACTTCGTATCATTGGAATTTCAGTCATTTTAGAGACCGTTCATTTATTGTTTGCTTCTTCGTATCCTTTAATTTGTTTCATTATTTTTCAGTTCCTGTTCGCCGAAACTTAGTGCAATGTTAAGAAATCTGGTAATATGAGTTTATGCACTTCTGCGCAAGGTTTCCCGTTGTTTTTTTTATTGTGTTTAAGTGAATTATTTATCGTTGTCATTTTGATGATTTGATAAACAGAATGGTTTATATTCACTGAGTTCATGATTTGTTGGTTTAATGTTCCAAATACCAACAGTTTTTGTCGCTTATTAGTTTTTTAATGCTTGGTACAGGTACCTTTTTGTCTTTGCCAAGTACTTATCCGTATCAGGATATCAGGCCGTTGTTTATTGATTCAGGCGCTCAATTCCCAACCACCTGTTCGATCTATTCCGCCTAATGAGATCCGGACAGTTAAGTAGTATCGTTGTTCCTCAGACAATAGGTTTGGCTCACTGCCTACTACAAGGAAATCCATATGGCTGCTGAGTTGTACTACTACCATTATTATAATTTCTCTCATCATTGTTTAAAATATTGCGTAGTGAAACTCTATTGCTTTATATTTTTTATGGCAGGTTACTGGAGTTTTGGGTGTATAAACAATGAATTGTTTGTCCGTTCTTTGTAACTCCAACGTTTTTTTGTTTGGTCGTACTGGCCAGCCAGTCAGATTTCGTTACGTTCCTGACCCAGGCACACTTGAGCAACGTCTGTTTAAAGCAGTTACAAAGCCTGTAATACCTCCTATTGATATCGACCCAGTAAAGAAGCGTATACGTGTAATGGAAGAAAAACGTTTGCATGTGAGTAATTTTATTGGTTTTGGCTCTACTCTATTACGATTTTTGAGGTATTCTCATTTTATTATAACATACTATGAGGAGATGTAACAAAGCCATATTATGAATATGGCTATATTGTCTCTGGCAAATGCGTTGGAAACTTTCAGAAAACTGCCAAACGAAGTTAATTAAATTTACTCAATGAAGTATTAGTTCCACTATGTCATTCGTTGGCGCTGTATGTAGATTGCGCTTAAATTCGTATGGAAATTGCTTTTGTACTTCTGCACTGAGTGTTCTGAAAAACTGATCGAATTACACCCGTCTTATTATCATGTACCGCATTTAATATTAAATGCATGTGAAATACTTATTTCTCCTTCTACAAATTTCAACACAAACATTAACTTGTTCTGAACACACTCATACATCATCTTACACTTCATACTTTGTATTTGTGTAAATTCGCACGCCTATGTCTGTATATTAGTTAAATTGATGAGAGTGAATAAAGAGGGCTACACTTTAACACGAAAGTGATACATGGCTTTCGTCGAAATTTCTTCATTTGCAGGCTATTGTATCCTTGAAAAGGAGAAATGCTTGGAATCATATATATTTATAAGTAACATCACCAGCAGACTGACAAGTTTATTCCACATCTTTTATCACAGTTTCTTCTAGGCTCAAGATACACACGAAGTTTTGTTTTTTGTTATCAGTGTCTTCAATTTTCTACTCAGTGCTTTTGACCTCATACTTAGATAACACTGCGATGTTTAAACTGCAATAAACATATTACATATTCTACTTATTTGTCTTGATGGTTTTGTTAAACTTTTCACTTAGTTGTCGAAAGAAGTCCAAATGTACTCAATAACCTTGTGCACATTCGTGCAGTAGACAATGAGCCACACCTATTGTGTGAGGGCTAATGATACTACCTGACTGCTCAAATACGAACTGAGGCTGAAGTATGCCATATAGTAGTATACTTTTCTACTATACTATTGCAAGAAATCGATCATAAAAATACTTCTTGTTGGACAGAGAATTGAGTGATTCGAGTGATTAACTTTTCAACTACGCTTTTTTCCACTCTGGAGAGTGAGGTTAGAAATTTTGATCCTCAAAGCTTCGCATAATACAACGTCACATCATCAAGTGTGAGGCTGTCCAAGTATAGATCTGTAACTTTGAATCTTCGCATACCCAAGTTTTTTTTACTTTAGTCGAGACTTCATTACTAGATTGTATGACTTTAAACCTGTTTCAGTAGTCGTGATACTTCCAATTTCTCTGTGGACAATAAATTTTTGATTTTATTTCGGACATTGATTGGTTGCCTACTTATTTTTTACTGGTTCTCCATCAGTATCATTATCATTCATTTGATTTCTTCGATTTTGGTCTTGTTGATTTTATGTCACGGTATTAATATGAATTGTCTCATTTTGGATTGAAAACGAATATACTAGGTTGAACGTTGTCTATCTCTCCGTCAGACTACTGGAACAGTGAGCTCACCTACCTATCTATCTGTTACGTCTCGACATCGAAAGTTACTTTAGGCTGTCAAATCAACAGTTTACTAGGGATATTTTTAAGGTAACCGATTTCCACCTTATTGGTGTACATGAATGTTGAAGTTGTACGTGTCAGAGCATCACTTGGCTGCTGTTTTTTATGTTTATAACCGTGTTTAGAATTCCGATAACTAAAACTCATTTACATCACTAGACAAGTCATTATCAACATAGGTTCTGTCATTACTGGTCAATATCCTGCATCTTACAGTGCATCATGATGCAAGGCAACTAGAAAAACGACGAAGAAATGGAAATCATACAGTCACACGTTGTAGAAATTCATAAGAGCAAGGACGAGTGGTGAAACTTGATCACTGTTATAGAATGTAATTCTCTGTTCGATTTTTTTATTCGATGTAGGAGACAGTGATACAAAACAATGGAAGTTTGAGCGAATAACGAGATAGGATACAATTGTTAACATGAAGATAAGGCGCAGATGCGTCTACTTCACTGTGATCAATTCTAATCCATATCACCTAGAGTCTCCAATCGTTGGTTTCGTTTTCCGTGTGGACGTTAACCAAGAAGCGTTACATATCTGTGCACACATGTGACCGATGGTGACACACTTCATGGATTCTTGTCACGATTTAATTTGGTCACTCTCAGTTTCTTCCAACGTAACCCGTAATCAGCCCATCGGGGTAGTCAGTGGGTCAGCATGCGTAACATACTCTCTCACCACGTGAAAGAGGGTTTAAGACCTGATCAACTGACTCACCTGTTTAATCTAGGACTACGCCTAACTTCTATGTTCCTCACTTGAGGTTCTGTGATGCAATCGACGCGTAACCATGTTCTCCATCTTTATTGGCAATTTTTCTGAGCCACGCGGATGGACGAAGTGCTTCGGTGCGCGTTACGCGTGGTCTTTAGTAGACAATCGGATTTCTTGTTGACAAAATATGTGTTATTTGTTAATAACATTCATTTAAGTTTAATCTAGTATTCTAAAGGTGAGTTTTAATATGATTCTCTGCATACTTTATTTTTAATGAATAATCAGGTTTTTCTCCTTTTCATCAACCGAACTTCACCCGTTCGGTTTGATATATATTCACTGAGCTATGTAACTCAGTGATAAAGTGCATGAAATCGTGTCGAATTGCCGGAGATATTTCCTAGGAAAAAATGAACGCAATTTTTCTGCTTATTGACAAACCCGTGTATTCGTCATTATTAACCGTCTCCTTAACTTACAAGTGCCATGACATTGGGATAATGTGCAAACTTTTCTCACCTCATCTGTTAGGCATTATGTTTTCTTCAGAAGTACAATGAAAAACAACAAGTTTTGCTTTTTATTACCGCGTAAATTACTTACTTGAGCGGCATTTCCCGTGAATTAATTAAGGGAAAAGTCAGATTTTTACTTCATGTAATATTTACACATTAATTCTCTGCTTATATACTTAGAGGTGCCCTCATTGTTGTACATCTTTTTATCTTATTTTAACAAGTTTTTATATCAACATATTATTATTATTGATTATTATTTTGAGAACATCCACCTATATGCATTCTGGTTTTCAGCAGGAAAATAATCCTTATCGGAAATTTTTAGTTGGAAAAGCTGAAGAGGAATTTTTCAAACTGATGGATAATAATATGGTTTTAGTTTTTCAAGAATTATTTTATAGACGCCGTGAAATAGCTCCTGTAAAAAATCAGTTATTTTTAAAGGGTATGAAGTTCAAAGGATTTCCATTATCTATTTTGAGGTTGGTTGATACTTTCTCGTACCTCTGGTTGAACTCACTTTGTTCAGTTTGTGTGGTGTGTAGGGTTATTTTATTTATTTAGTCGTTTATTCTAAATGTGCCAAACTATTATGGGTAGTTCAGAGGTGTGTTACTTATTCTCTTTCTGATGTTGAGAGAGGAGCTAAGTAAAGCTGTCAAACAGAAGGACAAATTAACTTATAATGTGGCACAGAAGTGCATCAGTTCACTTTGCCGCACTTCGTAGCTGCTTCCATAGAACAAATGGATGGAAAAAGTTTTATTAAGTTACGCGAAATCGATGATGTTTAATGTAGATATTCAAGATTCCTAAGATAGCGAAAAGTGCATCTATGTGCGCCATTATGACCGATTTTTGACTGTCATTTGATACCAATCGCCTTCAAGATGTCAGTAAAATAGTTTACACTCCTCTAAACGACTGACACCAATAGTCAACTGAACTGATACCACATTTTGGTTTGACCAACTTTAGCCTTCTTCCAACCTAATTGTTTTTGGATAAAATTTCACACTCAGCATACTCTACACATTTAAGCCACTTCAGTAAGTGTAGGTTCAAGACTACCTACTGATGAACTGAAGCTCTACGTGGCTTTCATGCTCATCATTAAAGTTGACAGTGTGACTTCAGTGACAATGACTTCTGTGCTAACCCAGATACTGTGGTAACCTACCATCATAGAGATGCTTTTTTAACACATCTTAGTTCCCAGGTTATTCTCATCGCCAGTCGCTTTCAGCTGACCAATATGTAATATGGCCTCATCAGGGGATTCGGCGGTCAAAGTTTGGGTGTAGTTTTCATTTATTAATAATAGCTTGTTCTCAGCTTTTATTTTCCACCTGTTAATAGATTTGAAAGGGAACATAGCTTTATTATTGTAGACTCCTAATAAAAAATCACACGAGACGATTTCTTGCTATATACTACGTAGACTGTCCATTTGAGTGAAAGTTAGATTCATGCCTTAATTATGCGACGTTTGTAGACAGATACTTAAAGATTTTAAAGATGAGATAAGCAATTGTATACTGATAATGATCATGTCTAATGTAATTTTTGTCTTTCAACATCAACCAGTAGTTTCGTTGCTTATCTACCATAAAAGTAAATCAATAATCTGTCGACAGAGTGTTTTTCAACTAAAAAGCAATTAATTTTTAATTTACGTGTTTGTGGAGATTTAGAGGTTTTTCAAGTTGGTATTCATCATGAACTGATATCAGTTCGAGGGGCGTTGGAAACCTGGGAGCACTGGACAGCTGTTTCGTCCTAGCGTGGGACTCTTCGGAAGTACGCACCCACGAACCCGCGCTCTTCAGGTTCCGTGACCAGCACGTTACCATTGAACCTTGACCACTTATCTCATTTTAATCATCAACTGACCGTTATTCTCTGCAGTTGTGAAATAGAATAGAAATCTAATCAGTAGCGGGTTCTTTTGGTATACTTGATAGAGTTACTAACTTTCAAGAATTTATGGGTTTTAATCCCACCAGTCTCTAAGTCTTTTTTCACTTATTATCATCAATCTGGTTGTTGGGAAACTTTGAATTATCTTTTTAGCGCCTTTTTCCGCTTCACGTGTATCGTTCAATCTTACCGCTTTTAAGAACGGTGTTTCCTTGTTGGTTGATCTCCTACTTTTAATATGCTATTTTTTCTAATCGATCCAAAGGCCTATACATTGTATATAAACGTAAGAATTATGTCCATGGGTTGTTACCTTCATACTTCTATTGGGTAAACTCGCTTTAGTCTAACATCGTCTTCTTTTTGTGTCAGCTGAGCCAGTTGTTAAGTAACTAGATTACGTGTCCTCAATTACTCGTATCCGAGAATCTAAACACTTTTGTCATTTAGGTTTGTGCTAGATATGACTCCCTTAGATAACCTCGTTATTAAGTAACAGATCTTGGCACAGTTATCTTTGATGTTACCCGTACAAAAACATGTTCCCGTCAGACACTACTATCAGTGGGATTAAAGTAGTTAGAAAGGAACATTTTCTCATCAAATTAACGCATAGTTGAAGAGCTGTTATCATTAAACAATATACTATACTATAAAACTGTTAAGCTGTCTGTGACAGTATAACATTTGATGTATTTTCTACTGCACAGCAATCGAAATTACTTTTTTCCTGATTTTTTTTTACAGGGAAGCTGCAAAAGGAACACGTTATGAATTATTTACGCGTTATTTTCTTCATTCCAATATTCCTAACACGTATTTATTTGCTGAACCAACACCTGAAAATTGTCGAGATGTAATAAAGATGACTAAAAAAGTACACTTTCTTCTTTTAATTGGTAAGTATAAAGTAATATTATTTCATATACATCGGTTACACGAAGATATTACTACTTAGCAGTAATCAGAATTCTCAACTCAATAACTAGTCAAAATAGCCTGAATCTCTATCACTTAAGGTAGTATTACAAGTCGTCACACAAAATTATGATTGTGGTCAGCCTTTGACTGGAGTGGAATAAAGAAGAAATCTGCAAAACTTTTGCCACGAAACTTGATTGATTCATGTTATATAACGTCTTGAACTACTCAGTTTCATTATCTCTCTTAAGATTGTCATTAATCCTTGATGAATTCTAACTAAACTTAACTTTCCTTCATTCTGGCAAAGTACACGTTTAAAAGTCTATTTCTCTGCCTTCTCGTAGACCTTCCTGCTATCGCTAAACCATAATAATGTAGAGCTGTCGCTCAGCGGTTTAGGAAGATGGCTATCAACCAGTCGGTCTCAGGTTCGAACCTCGCCCCACTTACCAAGGCTTAGGCAGCCAGGTAGTATCACTAGCTCTCACACAATAGGTGTACCTTATTACCCGTTGCACGGCTGCCCACATGGTGACTCACTGAGTTTTTTTTTTACCATACTGTATGTGAAAGACGTTGGATCGGTCTGAAAACTTGTGTTTAAAGATGTCTTCTTTCAGACAACCAAGACTTCATTAACGCTTACATTATGTCTCAACTGCATCTTTTGATAACGGTGGTCAAACACTGGATGAGGCGTATTCCACTCTCAGAGGGGGAATAAGTTTCCTCTATGTTGTAGACGCGCCATACTAGTGAATGCCAACAAGGTTCAGGGCTTCCCGCCGATTTTCTCCGATCAACTAATATCTATCAAATGTGCCACGATGGTGAGTCTCCTAGCTTAGTGGCCGCATTGCAAAATAATTGAGATAGTTCGGTAAGTACTAGACAAAATGAAATCGGTCGCTCTCCAGTGACTAATCAGTTCATCAAGTAATGTTAGACATCGTCATCTCAAAGCGTCAGTGTTTCACAGGTTTAGACTTTCGCAAATAAATAGTCGTTGTTAAACTATAAGCTTTCTAAAATCTACAAGAAAGTTAGTCACAGTTTCAATACGTGAATGGTGATGTCTTTTATTACAATGCTAAGTGACGTAAATTGGAATATCTCAAAAAAAAAGATTTTCTTGAGGTTGAACGTACACCATTCTGGTGAGTGTCAGTCAACACAAAACCTTAATGGAAGGCATACGGTTAATTGCTTACAAACAGTTAACAGAACTAAGTTGCATGAGTAGCCAGGCATTTTTGAAGTACAAAGAAAGTAGTTTTTAACACCCTAGTACACTTCAACAGAATTACTCGAGAGATCAATATAGTAGTAATGATAATTGAACTATTCACTTCATACAAAATGCCATTTCCTGACTTCAAGTGTTGTAAAAACGTGGAGTCATTTAGCTTGTGATAAGGAGTTGTAAGCGTTAGATTACTTCCATCAGACCACCACTTTTTTCCTCATTTTGACTCTGAATGTATTCAGCATAATAACTCAGCTTATTTGTGTAGAGTTTCGTTCACATGCAAAAACTTACAGGTTTACTGTATACTCTTGTTGACAGTACTGATATTATTTTCCTTTGTGTAAAACTAGGTTTATGTTTCCCTGACCGATAGCTGGTACCTTAACGTGATGGTCGGGCTTGCATATCACAATGACTCAACGAGAAATGCTTGTAGAACGCTTGTTCCCTCGAGGTCCTACCATACCAAAAAGGTTTGTTGGATAATGGTAAGACGAAAAGCAGTTACCACTGTGGTATAAGTTGCTACACTTATGATGGGGGTCTGATGGCGAAGTCGTACTGCTGCTAGCTGGATGGGGTGTGACAGCAGTAAGGTGTTTCCCTTGGATGACCAACAGTGCCATGCTGATGCTGCCTCCTCAGTGGAAAGGGGGCGGGGGTTAGAAAAGGCCGGCCCCAAAAATAACACTCCAACATGCCCCATGGTCTACCGGGCCGGCGATGTTGGTTCATTTGTCGTTTCCTTTCGACCACCCGGCCCCCAAAATACAAAAGTTCAAAATAATCATGCTCAAAAGGCTACGTGTGACAGGCCTCAAACAGATGTCTGAAGGGCCCTGCGGTCACACAAATCTCTTTCAGGTACCTTAAGAAGAAATAGCTCTCCACTAAATGGGCAGCCGGAAGTGTCAGCCACCCTCTCAACTCGATCAGCACTCAAGTTTCCTCAGACCTTTGACCACCGTTGCCTTCGTAGTTTAAACCGTATTCCGTGGTGTCACCACGTGAGTAACGCAGAAGTCAGGTATAGAGTTTTAGAGAGTAGAGGTAAATCAGTTGACGAGGTTGTGAACCTTCATCGACTCAGATGGTTGGGACACGTACTACGTATACCTAGTCGCCGATTGCCTCGTCACACAATGTTGACCGAAGGAGGTTCAGGCTGGAAAAAGGCCCGAGGTGGCCAGACTAAAACATGGCACCAATGTATGAAGTGTTTGACTGTTGGTTTGAGCCATGTGGGGCGGTGCGGACTACTAGGTGGTTGGGGTCCTTGGGACAAGAGGAACCAGTGGTTGGGGACTCTAGGTGATATGGCTGAGAACCGATGTCAGTGGTGCAGATGTATACACACATTTTCCTCATCTTAACACTATACCGATTCTCACCATTTTGTCATTCTTTCTTTCTTTCTTCTCGTACTTTATATTTCTTTTGATTGAATTTTCTTATCTTCATCTTGCTCCTCAGTGCCTTTTTACTCGATGTACTGATAACGAGGTGCGGCGACTCGGACCGTTACGCAGTAATGTCTGGTCCTATGTTATTGGTGATGAGGTTTATGTTTCAAATAGAGTAATGATGAAGAATAAATTGTGTGGTGATATTTTTCGTATTACAACTACTTTTACCTCTTTTTAGGTGGTTTTGTTCATAATAGGATTATGACTGTACAACAATTGAATGATTTCGCATCCCTGTCTGCTGAAGGTTTAGATGGTGTACGCAGCCAATTAGTGACTTTACTGGAACACAGTCGTGGAGGGCGAATTGTAACTGATTTAAACTATCACCAGTCATTTATTGTTCGTGGTCTCAAGAATTTGTCTAATGCTGGGTTAGATAGCGATGAATCAAATCCCTCGGAACTATGAGATACTATTTATTCTGTTATTATTACCTTATTATTGTAAATATTGTGCTCGCTTGAATGTTCTTTTTACTGTAAATAAAAGTTATTTCTTGCATTTATGTTTTTTCCCTAAGCTTATACTTTCAAGGCTTTTTTCCTTATTAAAAAAGTTTGCTAAGATTTTATTGTTAAAATTTGTCCTTTGGGTTCCTAGGGGAACACAGGCTTTCAGTAGCACGTTTCCACTTCACTTTTTTCTCTCTCTTCTTTTGAACCTGGTGCCACGAATGCCCAGAAGCTCTTATTTCTTCCTTACACGGTCTCGTCCACGTTACCCTCACCTAGGACGCCCAACTGGTCGTTTTCATTTTGGGTTCCACTCGACTGCCTGGCGCGTGATGTTCGTGAATTATCTTCTCAATGCATGCCCAATCCATCTCCACTTTCTTCTGCACATATGTTGGGCGATAGGTTCTTGGCTGGTTCATCGACAGGCCAGAGTCCCTTGTGCTTATTCTTTCTGATCATCTGAGCGTAGGCAGTTGTTGATGAATATCTGTAGTCTGTTGGAAATCCCTTTCGTAACGCGCCGCCAAGTCTCTCAACCATCACACAGAAGCACTGACTTGACTGAATTAGCGCTGAAAATCCGGATCTTGTTCCACATGCTGAATGCAGTGCAGAAGATCTCCACACTGGTTTCAGGCTAATGAACGCCTGTCTTGCTGTATTTCCGATCCTGATTTTGACGTCCTCATATGTGTCGCCTGTAGTTGAAACCATGCTGCCTAGGTAGGTAGGAAGGTAGGTAGGTAGGTAGGTGAGAGAAACAACTAACTTTAAGTTTCTCCCGTTAATGGTTATTGGTGCTTGTTCTTGTTATTGGTTGGACATCTTCATCACCTCTGTCTTCTCTACGTTCACTTGAAGTCCCGTCTTCGCTACCTTACCGCTTCTGTCAACTTATTAGTTTCCGCCTGTAGATCTTCAAGTTTGTGCGACATGAGACATAAATCATCATCGGCGAAATACGAGTCTTCTAGGGTCTCTTCATCGGTCCAGCGTACGCCCATCTTCTCGCTCCTCACGGTTTGGTGCATGATTCAGTTCAGTCCACCACAATCAGGAAGATCATAGGTGATGGTAGGTGGCAGCCTTGTCTTACTCCTGTCTTCACTTCAAAGGCATCGCTGAGCTTTCCATTGTGGACCACTTGGCATGCGGCGTCTTCATATAGTTGTTGAATGAGATTGATAAAGGTTTGTGGTATTCCGTAGTGTCGGAGCAGTTTCCAAATTACTTCTCGGTCGACGCTATCAAAGGCCTTTTCAAAATCGATGAAGTTGAGGTAGAGAGTTGACTGCCATTCTATGCTCTGTTCTATGATGATGCGTAGCGTAGTGTGGGAATTTGAACCGTACATGATTTGTACTTCCTGAATCCAGCCAACCAGCTTGTGGTGGTCGTAATTTTGAATCCAGAGCATCCTTTAGTCTCTCCAGGATGGTGCGGCTCAATGTTTTATTTGGGGTGGACAGGAACAGGAGCATGATTCCGCGCCAGTTCTTTCAAAGACTTAGGTCGCCCTTCTTTGAGAGTTTGACAGGATAGCCCTTCTTCCAATCGCCAGGTACCTTCCCTTCCTTCCAGACCCTCTGCAATAGTGATGTGAGTATGTCCGCTGTTGTCTCTGGGTCTGTTCTCAGTGCTTCTGGAGGAAGTCTGTCTGGTCCTGCTGCTATCCTGCATTTCAGTAGCTTTATGGAGCTTAGGACTTCCACTTTCGTCGGAGGATTTATGTTCACTTGTAGTTCTGTGACCGCAGGTGGTATTTCTGGACGAAGTGCAGGTAGTGGTCGATTCAAGAGCTTCTTGAAGTGGTCGGCTTACCGTTGCCTTTGTTTGTCTTCTTTAGTAATTGGGTTTCCTTCATCATCTTTATTGGTTTCATCTGTGTTGATCTCTTCCCAGGTAGTAACCTGGTTATTTGATATAGTGTTGTCAGATCTCTCCTGTCAGCAACCTGTTCTGCTTCACTTGTCAATGTGTCGTAGAAATGTCTTCTGTCTTTGCGCTCACGCTTCTTCACTTCTTTGTCCAGTGTAGTGTTTTATAGGTTGTGTTCAGTTCCTCTCCTCGTTGTTCATCTCTGCACTGCACTGGTTTATCTTCTGCTTCACCATCACCATCTTCCTCTCCCTGCTCTATCAGCTTCCATGTGTTCGTCGAGATCCATTCCTTGTCTTCTTCTTCTTTCTTCCTAATACATTTATGCAGGTTTCTTTCCACATCTCTTCCAAACAGTTCCAGTGTTCGTCCACACAGGTTCCTTCAGGGATGTTTTTCGATATCTTCTATTTTGTCTTGCTAAGATAGTCTGTAAGAATTTTTGTTTCACACAGATTAGGGTACTGGACGTGCCAGTAGGGTGCGCATGTTGATTCACCTTATTATCATTGTTTTGTTTTCTATTATCATGCTGCATATTCTGTGTTAATAATGCAAAAATCCCCAGTTGGACATTTAGTTAAACAAACAATGTGAGCGAAGAAATATTTCTTTCCAAGTAGTTCCTCATCAATGGCTCTATACTAATATAACATTTTCAAACGTAAAATTACATACCAATAAAGTGGTGGGAGTTGTTCAATGAAAGGGTTATCAATGTCAAAGTATCAAGAAGGTGATAATTGATCAGGTAATTAGGACATTTAACTAAAGCAAAGATTAATTATCGTAGAAAGGTTTTGTGAACAGGTTCTTACATAATTGATATTTTGTATAATGATAATTAAAGAGCGAAAATGAATTGTTACGTAGATTGGTAAATTGTTGGCAGTAATTAGAGACAATAGGGGGAGTGGAAGATGGCTAAATCTTTAATAATAATAATAATAATAATAATAATAATAATAATAATAATAATAATAATAATAATAGAGCTATTAAAATATTAGTTATAGTGAATGTTGGGATGGATGAAATGAAGAGTCTTGTAATAAATGAGCTATACAGATGGCAAAGGCAAAGAAAGAGGCTGTACGAATCTCTTCTGAACACACAGACTTGGCTTGTGTAGGTGGATTCCTATGGCTTCTGCTGTATGTAAAAGACGGACTCGTAGAGGATGGGTGAGGTGAGAAGGAATGTGATGAATAACTTTAAAGGCATCATGAATGTTAACTCGGTGGCCGGTGTCAATCAGATGAGAGAGTATTGAGCTTTGTGTCAGTCTGGTTTCCCCCTTACTTAGCCATGAAGGATGATGCTCGGCGATTCGACGACGGACTTGCCTAACTGTACGTCCAATGTAACTAGCTCCACAGGAGCAGTTGAACTGGTAAATGCACATAGAAGAGAAGAAGTCAGGGAGTCTGTCTTTAGTTCGTGTGGTCATCTTCGGCCGGCTGTAGAAAACACAACATAACTTGGCGGCATTAAATGATCTTATGGCATTTCTTAAGCGTTGTGTCACAATTTCGCTGATGATGTCACCTCGAAATTGTAGTCTTAGAAACAATAGTTTCTTGGAGACTGTAGGCATTCTGGTTTTCATATTGGATGTGTTCATATTTCTAGCCAGGAACGTTTCCGGATATCCACTACTACTGAGTAGATCGTGGATAATTTGAAGCTCTTCGTCAAAACTATCATCTGAACAGATGAGTCTCGCCCGATGGATCAAACATTTAACGAGATTTCGTTTATGTTGCAGGGGGACGAAACTCAAGAAGTGGGTGTATTGACCTGTTGACGTTGGTTTCCGATACACACTTCTTTTTATAGTTCCATCCAGTTCATTTTCGCTCTTTAGCTATCATTATACAAAATATCAATTATGTAAGAACCTGTTCACAAAACCTTTCTACGATAATTAATCTTTGCTTTAGTTAAATGTCCTAATTACCTGATCAATTATCACCTTCTTGATACTTTGAGATTGATAACCCTTTCATTGAACAACTCCCACCACTTTATTGGTATGTAATTTTACGTTTGAAAATGTTATATTAGTATAGAGCCATTGATGAGGAACTACTTGGAAAGAAATATTTCTTCGCTCACATTGTTTGTTTTACTAAATATTCTGTGTTAGTCAGTATATGATTAGGTTTTTGCAACGATCTAGAGTGTTCAGTCTCGGCTCACCAAGGCAGTGCTCTTCAAAAATGAACTTCGTAGCACACACCCATTCATGCTGTATCTTCGCCTGAATTCTCAGTTTTATGAATGGATATCTTTTTTACATTTTTTTTGTATTGTAGATAAATATGAAAGTTGTCATAATTACTTTCATACATTTATATCCCCGCTTGTATTGGTTTCTGTTTTATGTTCCGATGTAAAGTTTAGCAATTTAGATGCACGTATAGTCATCCTAGCTTTTGTTATGTTTGTCTGTTAAATTTCACACCTGACAAATGTGTCTGCTTTCTGTTATTTGATTTTTTTTGGGAATATTTTCGCTCAAAGGTGAATATAAGGAAATATTTCTACGTGTCTAATATACATATCTATTTGAATCTTTGATATTCAGTTAACCAGTTTCTTAGTGCAATATCACCGAAGATTAATCACCAATATCCACTGTTTATATATATGTATATATATATATATATATATATATATATATATATATATATATATATATATATATATATATATATGTACTGGATGATAATTGAGGATGAACCTAGAATTTCGGCCCCGGAGGGAATCAAACCAGTGGTCACTGGATTTCTAGCCCAGTGCTCTACAAACTGAAACATGAGAGCCAACCGCGTAACCGATGGTCGCTGGTTCGAATGCAGCCGCGTCCCAAATTCTCACTTCACCTTCAATCATCACCTAGTACTAATCTGTATAAAAAATCTTTATTTTCTTGTGAAACAATGCATATTGGTGATTATTACTGGAAGTCTAATCTTCGGTGACATTGCACTAAGAAACTAGTTAACTGAATATTAGTAGATTCAATTCGATTTTCAGTAAAATCCATACCTTTTATCCAGTTCTGAACAT